TGACTTATTTTACACAGTCGACTTATATTTTGGTTCGTTGATTTTTTACTTTATTGATTTATTTATACAGTTGATTTTTTTTATGTTCGTCGACTTAATTTTTAGTTTCGTCGATTTATTTTAAACTGTTGACTTATATTTTGTTTGATTGACATTTTAAATTATCGACTTATTTAAACCACTGACTTATTTTTTGTAATTTGTCGACTTAATTTTTTTTTTATCGATTTATTTTAGACCATCAATTTATATTTTGATTGATTGACTTTTTACTTTGTCGACTTATTTAAACCATTGACTTATTTTTTATGTTCATCGACTTGACATACTACTATATAATTAATTAAATTGTAAATTGTAAAATTAATTCCTAATTTTATTTTATAAAAAATATCAATTGATAATTTTATTTAAATTAATATATTGTAATAGATGGTGATATATTAGTTTTAAATATTATAAATCAAAATTTAAATAAAAATTAGAAAAATTAAATTTTTTTTTTTAACTTAATCTTATTAAACAAGGATAGAATTGTCATTTCAACTATTAAAATATGGTACTTTTCAAAGTGTAATAAATTTGGTATAAATTTCAAATTTTCAATAAGATTTGGTGTATACAAGCCAATTTTTTTATAATCTAAATACGTAAGCGTATCAATTGAGCGTATCTACACAAATTATAAAATTAGTAGTTAAATAGTTTTATCTCGTGGACTGTTGCACTTGTATTACTCGTTTTAGCTAATTATTATAACCTTAAGATTATAATACAAAGTTTGTTTATTAACATTGTATTGAGATAACCCAACACATCTAGCCTTTGTTTGACGGACCGAAACATGGCAAGAATCTGATTTATTTCAATTTTTGTGATATGCTGAAGTAATCATGATTAAAATTACTAATTGCATTGCCAAAAAAATAAATTGACTACGTGCCACGTGGATAGATCTCCCGATAATACGTTTTTTATCCGTTTAGTCGTCAAGACATGTGTTATTTAAATACCATATATATGTCTAATCATCTGTTTGTTGAGAATTTTTATTCTGTGGATTTATTAGACACCTGTCGGTTTGTGAAACATAAAAGTACTGGTTTTACTTTCATTTAACAGATACGATTGAGTTTAGAAAATAATCATTTCATGATCAATTTATAAATTATGGTGTCGTTTAGTTTTATAAGCAGATACAATGTGTTTTGATGAGAAAATAATTCGATATGTTTTAGTTGATGACTGATGGATATATCTAACTTTCTGATGATGAAAAATAGATCGTATGTGAATGATTTTAACAGTGTAGCTGGTTTATTATCTTTATAGGTAAATGAAATCACACACAAAGAGAAAGAGAAATTTACGTCTGTTTTACTGTCTTTTGTGTTGGCATCATATGGATCACTTAAGGATAATAATTAGTGTGTAATCAATTCAAATATGGAACTCACAGACGGAATTTTTAAAATTAATCATTGATTTACAACAATTTTAGATCTAGCTATAACTTTTTTTTGCTTTCTTATCAACAAAGCCTAACTAAGACATGGGTGATTTGCCCAATAACGAAGAAAAAACTATAATTTATAATCTATCCAAAAGATAAAAAGGTTATTTAAGTTAATATCTTATTATAACTTAAAATGTTAAAAGATAGACACTGTATATGTTATTTATGGACGAAATTGTCCTTATGACACACAATAAAGCGACAGTACGACATGCCATAAAGCAGAAATGACATGACAGTTT